TCTGTCTGTCTGTCTGTCGTTCTATCTATCTGTCTGTCTGTCGTTCTATCTATCTATCTGTCTGTCTGTCTGTCGTTCTATCCGTCTGTCTGTCTGTCTGTCGTTCTATCTATCTATCTGTCTGTCTGTCGTTCTGTCTGTCTGTCTGTCTGTCTGTCGTTCTATCTATCTATCTATCTATCTATCTATCTATCTATCTATCTATCTATCTGTCTGTCTGTCTGTCTGTCTGTCTGTCGTTCTATCTATCTATCTATCTGTCTGTCTGTCTGTCTGTCTGTCGATCTATCTATCTATCTATCTCTCTATCTGTCTGTCTGTCTGTCGATCTATCTATCTGTCTGTCTGTCTGTCTGTCTGTCTGTCGTTCTATCTATCTATCTATCTATCTATCTATCTATCTATCTATCTATCTATCTATCTATCTATCTATCTGTCTCTGTCTGTCTGTCGATCTATCTATCTATCTATCTATCTATCTATCTATCTATCTATCTATCTATCTATCTATCTATCTATCTATCTGTCTATCTGTCTCTGTCTGTCGGTCGTTCTATCTATCTATCTATCTATCTATCTATCTATCTATCTATCTATCTATCTATCTATCTATCTATCTATCTATCTATCTATCTATCTATCTATCTATCTATCTATCTATCTATCTATCTATCTATCTATCTATCTATCTATCTATCTAACTGTCTGTTTGTCCATCCATCCATCCATCTATCCATCTATCCATCTATCCTTCTATCTATCTATCTATCTATCTATCTATCTATCTATCTATCTATCTATCTGTCTGTCTGTCTGTCTGTCTGTCTGTCTGTCTGTCGTTCTATCCGTCTGTCTGTCTGTCGTTCTATCTATCTGTCTGTCTGTCTGTCGTTCTATCTATCTGTCTGTCTGTCTGTCTGTCTGTCTGTCTGCCTGTCTGTCGTTCTATCTATCTATCTATCTATCTATCTATCTATCTATCTATCTGTCTATCTGTCTCTGTCTGTCTGTCGTTCTATCTATCTATCTATCTATCTAACTGTCTGTTTGTCCATCCATCCATCCATCTATCTATCTATCCATCCATTCGTCTATCTGTCCGTCTGTCTGTCTGTCGTTCTCTCTATCTGTCGATAGCTCTATTAATCCATCCAATAAAAGCCGGTTGTATTCCACGGTGAAACATGTCCTTCAGTTAATATTTTCTATATGTTGTGATTAATTTTGAGTGTGTTTGCAGGGCAGAATTGCATTATGGGATGTTGATCTGTGCTCTGTCCTCTTCTGATGGTGAAAATTTCAACTCTACAGTTTACAATTCAACTATATTTATCTGTCAGTGTCAGTACATCAGTCTTGAGGATATCTATAGTCTGAGGGCTCCAAAACGATGAGAGAATTTACATTCAGAAGATATAAACATCCAAAGTTTGCAGTTTTTTTTTTTTCAAAGTCACATAATGCAATTGAAAATCATTAATAACAATAACTGTAATTTTACCAATATTCTTGACAGTGTAGGACCGTTAGCAGATGCTTTAATCAGTCATTAGTTAATTTGCTGTACACCCAGTGTAAATAATTAAATGATCATCCTCTTACTCTCCTTCTGTTTAATAAAACTAATAACTCATCTTTTTTTCAGACAGTATCTGTGCCTGCATCTCGTCTCAGCGTCCTGTTTATGACCAAGCGTGGCTGATTAACCTGTTTCTCTGCGAACAATGTGACGTTTTCAGAGCACGAAGGAAGCCAGTGGTGACCATTTTAGCCGCTGGTTTCCCCACCCTGACGGAAACTCTTGCTTCATATCAAAATAATCTTCTTTATCATGTAGTGTCAGTGTGTCTAACAGTGAGTACAGGAGCTGCAGCACTATGGATGTGATCTCGAAAGAGGGCCCGCTGTTCCTGCAGGGCGTCAAGTTTGGGAAGGTGAGCTGATTCACTGAAATGCATTTGTTTACGCTTATTTACATTCATTTTCATGTTTTGTGCGAGCGATATGGCTTTAAGTGTAGTACTGTTTGTTTAGTTTTTTGTTACTAAACAAATACAGTTATAACCAGACGTTTTCATACACTCTAAACAAAGGAGCATAACCATTGTTAAATAAATGTCTGCTGGTAAATCAGACTAAACGTTTACTATTTCAGGTCCGTTAGGATTACCTAAATGATTTGTTAAATGCCAAAATAATGAGAGAATTTTTTTAGAGAATTTGTTATTAATTTCTAGACAGACATACACACATATCCTTGGTATTTTTAGCTTTGCTTTTAGACTGTAAATGTTTCGGGTCTCCTTCCACAATAGTTTGCAGGAGTTTTGGCCCATTCCTACTGACAGAATTGCTGTAACTGAGTCAGGTTTGTAGGTTTTCTTGCTCGCACAAGCTTTTTCTAAATTGTTTCCCAGTGATGGGTTGCAGCTGGAAGGGCATCCTATGCGTAAAACATATTCTGGATAAGTTGGTGGTTCATTCCACTGTGGCGACCCCTGATTAATAAAGGGACTAAGCTGAAAATAAAATGAATGAATGAATGATAAATTATTTGCTTTCTTGTAGATAGTAAAATGGCTAAGTGTAGTACTACATTTATTTATTTATTTATTTATTTATTTATTTTTTGTTACTATATAAGTGTATATTAAATAACATTATTATAAATTATTATGATTTTTATTTTTTAATATAAGACAGAAGGGTTTTTTTTTAAGTGTAATACTATTTAGTTTTTATATTTTATGCTTCATTACTATATTGTACAAGATAGAAGTAATATGGATTTAAGTGTAGTACTATTTATTATTTTTGTTACTTTTATTAAAATTATATTCATAATGTTCTATTTATTATAATAACTATTATGTTATATATTTGTATAACTGTTATGGCTTTAGGTGTAATACTATTTAGGTTTTATTTTACACTTTTTTTTTTGTTTACTTTTATACAATATAGAAGTATTAAGTGTAATATTGTTTATTATTATTATGTATTACTTTAGTTACTGTACAACAGAGATCACCAAACTTGTTCCTGGAGGTCCGGTGTCCTATATATATACACACACACACACACACACACACACACACACACACATACAGTTGAAGTCAGAATTATTAGCCCCCCTGTTTCTCCAGAAGAACAAATATTATCAGACATACAGTGAACATTTCCTGAATCTGTTAAGTATCATTTGGGAAATATTTAAAAAAGCAAACAATTTCAAAGTGGAGCTAATAATTCTGATATATATATATATATATATATACAGTTGAAGTCAGAATTATTCGCCCCCTTCAAATTTTGTTCTTCTTTTTTTTAATATTTCCCAAATGATGTTTAACAGAGCAAGGAAATGTTCACAGTATGTCTGATAATATTTTGTCTTCTGAAAAAAGTCTTATTTGTTTTATTTTGGCTAGAATAAAAGCGGTTTTTAATTTTTTATGTACCATTTTAGGGACAAAATCATTAGCCTCTTTAAGCTATATTTTTTCTCGATAGTCTACAAAACAAACCATCGTTATACAATAACTTGCCTAATTACCCTAACCTGCCTCGTTACCCTAATTACCCTAGTGAAGCCTTTAAATGTCACTTTAAGCTGTATAGAAGTGTCTTGAAGAATATCTAGTCTAATATTATTTACAGTCATCATGACAAAAAGAAAATAAATCAGTTATTAGAAATGAGTTATTAAAATTATTATGCTTAGAAATGTGTTGAAAAAACAAAACAAAAAAATATATATATATACAAAATAGAAGTGTATGACTTTAGAATTAATAATGAAGTGTGATATTTAATTTAAAAAAATGATTTAAGTGTTTTATATTATATTGTATAATTATAAATTATTAGATTTTAATTTTTAATACAAGTTAAAAGCAGTTACAAAGTGTAGTACAATTTATATTTTATATTACATTATAAAAAGAAAAAAATTGTTTCAATATATTCAATAAAAGATATAAAAAAATGTAATTCAATATATTTTGGACATAATTCAATGTAACATGTAAGACATTATTAGTAAAGATATACAGAATTATTTGTAGAGTGTATGAACATGAATGGCAGCTGCTGTTTTGATCCAGTAGCCGCAAAACTACACAATGTACGTTGAGTTTGCATCAGTATTATGATACATGGGGGAAACCAGAGATTTACCTACCTAGTAAAACTAAAACGTATAGTAGTATTGGGTACTTTTTACTTAGGTCAGGGGTGTCCAAACTTTTTGGGCCGAGGGCCAGATGCAAAAAAACAAACGTTGTCGCGGGCCAAATTTTACATACATCACACAGACATGCATATATATATATATATATATACAGTTGAAGTCAGAATTGTTAGCCCCCCCTAAATTATTAGCCCCCGTTTATTTTTTCCCCAATTTCTGTTTAACGGAGAGAAGATTTTTTTTCCACACATTTCTAAACATATTAGTATTAGTAACTCATTTCTAATAACTGATTTATTTTATCTTTGCCATGATGACTGTAAATAATATTTGACTGGATATTTTTAAGACACTTCTATTCAGCTTAAAGTTACATTTAAAGGCTTAACTAGGTTAAGCAAGTTAACTTGTTAAGGTAATTAGGCAAGTTATTTTATAACAATGGTTTGTTCTGAAGACTTAAGGGGCTAATAATTTTGACCTTAAAATGGTTCATAAAAAAAATTTAAACCGCTTTTTATTCTAGCCAAAATAAAACAAAATTCTTTTTCCAAAAGAAAAAATATTATCAGACATACTGTAAAAATGTCCTTGCTCTGTTAAACATCATTTGGGAAATATTTAAAAAAGAAGAAATAAATCAAAGAGGGGCTAATAATTCAGACTTCAACTGTGTGTAGATAGATAGATAGATAGATAGATAGATAGATAGATAGATAGATAGATAGATAGATAGATAGATAGATAGATAGATAGATAGATAGATAGATAGATAGATAGATAGATAGATAGATAGATAGATAGGCAGACAGACAGACAAGCAGACAGACAGGCAGACAGATAGATAGATCATAACAAGAACTGCTGCTTAATTGAATGCATGTAATAGCGACACCCGGTGGTTATTTATTGAATTACGTTCATTTTTGTATAGCGGGCCAGATTCTATTGATATTTATAAAAAGTCTCGCGGGCCGCCAAAAAACTGATTGTGGGCCGCAGATGGCCCGCGGCCCGTAGTTTGGACATGCCTGACTTAGGTACATTTTAGAGGTCGAACTGTTACTTTTACTTGAGTGCAAAAGTGTAGTCAGTACTTTAACTTTTACCAGAGGGGTTTTAAACATGAGTATCTGTACTTCTGCTTGAGTACAGCAGTGGTTCTCAAAGTGGGGGTCGGGACCCCCCAAGGGGTCGCGGGGCAATGAAGGGGGGTCGCCTGGTGATTTCCAAAAATCTATTTATTTTTATTAAACCATAAGAATTAACATATTTTATCCATAACTATACTGAAAATAAAAATAGTCGTTTATAGTTACTATATACTATATAGTTACTATAGTAGCTTATAGTTACTAGTTCTATTGGATTGCGACCCCTGGGGTAATTACATTATATTAAAGGCAGCAATAGCGTCAGATGCATTTTGATTTTATAACATCAGGTTATACTTTCTGGCACATTTAAAGCACTGACACCAATTTAATTGTTGTGTCTGCGTCATTGCATGCAAGGTTTCTGTATTTATAGCCACCTCAGAGGATATTGGGGGTCGCGAGTCACTGGCATTGTTATTTTGGGGGTCGCGGGCTGAAAAGTTTGGGAACCCCTGGAGTACAGCATGTGTGTACTTCTGTCATCTCTGCTCATATTCCTGTTGCATCATCTCTTATATTGCAAGTCATATCTCTCCGGCCCCTCATTTGGGATCTTTTTCATGAACTGACCCCCATGACAAACTAATTGAATATCCCCGACCTAAACAAACAAACAGACAAAAACATCTTATGTGTATACTTTTTAACTATAAAAGTTAATCTTGCACAAGCTATGCGAGTTTTTGAGGCTTAAAATTGTCATTATTTATTATTATTGAAAGAAAATGGCTGATTGTTTGTCTAGGTAAGCCTCTTATTTCTGATCTGGCTTAATTTACAGTATTTGAAACTTTAGTCTACCATACGGCAAAACAAATTCTGCAGGTTTCCCCCTAAAACCTGCATTTATTTTCATCTGGAGACAGAAATGAGCGTCTTGTTGGAGTAAATGATGAGGAAATGTTCAATCCGGAAGTGAATGAATGCTTTAATGGAGTTGGGAAGAGAGACTCAGCAGAGGCAGGATCAGATCTGCTCCTCTGAGACGGCATCATCCAGCCGCCGGGGCAGGACTTGTGAAATGATTCTTGGTTTTATCTCCTATAAATGATTCATCAGCGTTTATCTCCAGCATGAGGATGCTGACACCTCGGGTGGGGAAACAGATGCTTTTCTCTTCTCTATGAATAATGTACAGCCGAGCGTTTCTGACCACCCATAATTCCTCAGGCTCACTGTAAATTATTCAAAGTGATGCTTTCAAGGAGAGCTATTATGCACGTTTTTACAAGATGTGAAATGCGTCTGTGCTGTCTCCAGAGTGTGATATGACACAGATCATGCTCTCCAGCTCTCTGAAACTGACCCTGTCAGGCTTTGATCCTAACTGTGGTGTCTTGGTGACTGTCGCTTTAAATGCAAATGAGATTGTGCTCTTTTCAGAAGAGGGCGGAGCTACAAATGCATATGCATCAGCATAGTGACAGATGTATAACAGCAGTGTGAGTGTGTGTTGTCAGTGCTGGTCATGTGTGCTTCAGTGTGAGTGTTCATGCTAAAACTCCACATCTATAATCCTCTTAGTCTATGCTGACGTCATCTTCAGCAGCTCAAACACTCTAATGGCTAATGGACAGACGGCTGCTTCTCACTCAGGGCTGCTATAGAGATAGACACTAGTGGCTTTCCCCCTTTGATGACACATACAAAGGCAGAATGTCAATCAAAGTGTTTCCTTAATCAAGTCTGATTACAACAGACACAATTAATAAGAGGCTGGCAATATTCACGCAATATCACTGTGTTTAAACCGCTTATAAAAATGAGTTTTGCATACTAGATGCCCTTTAAAATGAAACCAAGCATTGAAGATTAGCATTCATTTACGTTGAGCATGTCATTTTCATAACGCGGGTCTTAAAACGCATTAATAAATCAATAAAGAAGTGTAAGGCCCTTTAAAAAGTATTGAAAAGCTTATATGCTATTTTGCAAGGTATGCGATTTTGATTCTGCAATGTTTAGTTGTATGCTAAAGTTTGCCTGAATTTAATCTGCTCATACCAAGATGCCGTTTAACGGGTCAGGAAACCCCCCTCCTTCAGTTCAAGTCTACCTCAGAATTAAAATAATGCTTTGTGATGGGTGTGGAGCGCTGCGGGCAGAGGGGGGAGTGGGCGTGGCCAGCAGAGCAGGGGGGAAAGAGGGGAGGGAACAACTCAGCACACACAATGAGAGACAAACCGTGAGGAGACGCATGATTTTATAGTTTACAAAGTTAAAATGCAAAGAAATGAAGAGTAAATTAATGTCCTGCTGCATTTATTATTCATTATATCATACACACATAACCACAAGTAGTTCTATCATTATAAAGATGATCGTGTTTATATAAACACTATAAATGAGGACTTCTCCTCTCCTAAATCCCCATGTCTGAGTGAAGACACAGTGGACTGCAGTGCAGCCGGTCTCTTGCTCTGTCCATTCCAACCATTAGAACTGTCGGTAATCTGGAGGATGTTAAAAATAGGTGAACACATTTTTAACATGTAGTCATTTATCAGACGCTTTTATCCAAAGCGACTTACAAATGAGGACAAGGACGCAATTTACACAACTATAAGAGCAACAATGAATGAGTGCTGTAGGCGAGTTTCAGGTGTGTGAAGTGTAAAAAGCAAAACATTAGTAATTTTCTTTTCTTTTTTTTCTGTAGTACAGTTAGCAGTAGAACCAGAGAGGCAATTGCAGATTAGGAAGGAAAGTGGAGACTAAATATTTGAGTTTTTAGTGGTTTCTTGAAGACAGCGAGTGACTCTGCTGTTCTGATGCAGTTAGGGAGTTCATTCCACCAACTGGGCAGATTGAGCGTGAGCGTTCGCGAAAGTGATTTCTTCCCTCTTTGGGATGGAACCACGAGGCGACGTTCATTCACAGAACGCAAGTTTCTGGAGGGCGCATACATCTGCAGAAGTGAGAGCAGATAAGAAGGAGCAAAGCCAGAAGTCACTTTGTAGGCAAACATCAGAGCTTTGAATTTGATGCGAGCAGCAACTGGCAGCCAGTGCAAACGGATGAGCAGCGGAGTGACATGTGCTCTTTTAGCTTCATTAAAGACCACTCGTGCTGCTGCGTTCTGAAGCAGCTGAAGAGGTTTGATAGAATTAGCTGGAAGCCCGGCTAGTAGAGAGTTGCAATAGTCCAGTCTGGAGAGAACAAGAGCTTGAACAAGGAGTTGAGCTGCATGTTCAGATAAGAAGGGTCGGATCTTTCTGATGTTATAGAGTGCAAATCTGCACGATCGAGCAGTTCTAGAAATGTGGTCAGAGAAGTTTAGTTGGTCATCAATCGTTACTCCAAGGCTTTTCACCATTTTGGATGCAGTAATGGTTGCCCCGTCCATCTGGATTGAAAAGTTGTGATGTAGAGTCGAGTTGGCAGAAACTACAAGCATTTCCGTTTTTGCGAGGTTCAGCTGAAGATGATGATCTTTCATCCAGTGTGAAATGTCCAACAGGCAGGCTGAGATGCGAGCTGGAACCGAGGGATCATCAGGGTGAAAAGAGAGGTATAGCTGGGTATCATCAGCATAGCAGTGGTAGGAGAATCCATGTCTCTGGATGACTGGTCCTAGAGATGTTGTGTAGATGGAGAAGAGAAGTGGCCCAAGAACAGAGACCTGTGGTACCCCAGTGTTTAGATGCTGTAGGTTGGACACCTCTCCCCTCCAAGACACCCTGAATGACCTGTTAGTGAGGTAAGATCTGAACCACTGAATAGATAGACTCAATAGACTCAAGCATAGATAGCAGGATCTGGTGGTTTACAATGACAAAAGCAGCTGACAAAATGCTGATTCTGATAATCAGCACATAGTTAATAGGACCCACTTTATATTAAGTGGCCTTAACTAATATGTACTTACACAGGAATTAATAGTTTGTTGCAATGTACTTATTGTGTAAATACATGTATTTACTGTGTACTTATGCTTGATTAAATACCAGTATGTAATTACATCTTAAACTTTTGTAATAATATTTGTAAATACAGTGTTGACCATCCCTTTCACCTTAACCCACCCTTAAACCTACCCACACCACCAAACCTGTTCATAACCCAACCTCTATCCCAACTCACCAAAGCACCACAAGTGTTCTCAAATACATTATAAACACAGTAAGTACATTGTATTTATTTTTAAAGGAAGTACATGGTAGTTAAGGACACTTAATATAAAGTGGGACCAGTTAATATACCCGGTTAAAATGTTATTGGTTGAAGACTAATGTGCCGATGAGATCCTTAAATGTATGGAAAGAGTCTTAAAAGGGTCTTAAAGACACACAAACCAGAAGCTGCAACCATTTTTTTTTGCCATATTGTGATGAATTCCTTAACGATAATTATTTAATGATATTAAATGAGAAAGCAGTGGGTGTGGCTTTTTGTTTTTCTACTGCGAGCTGATTGGATGTAGTAAAGTGGGCGTTTCATTATGAAAGATGGGGGAAAGGGTTTGGGAGAGTATTTACAGTCTAACATGCTCCTCTTGCTCACCATCACTGTTTGTTGTCAAAACTGACAGCTGAAGGGCGTGGCTAAGTATGTTAACCACGCCCACTTTCTAAAACAGACCTAATTTGTGAATTTAGTTGGAAACAAACAGGAAGTGCATTTTCAGATTTGAATTATAGAGAACAACAGTAAACTGTTGTTTGTTTCTTCATGGCATTGCTGAATTGTTCACCGCAGAACTGCCAATGTGAGATAACAAAATCAGTATGTTTAGTTTTGATGCCATGTGGACTTTAAAAGGTCTTTGACTCTCTGATTCCTGTATATACCCCGTGTGAATGGTTTTAATATCTACGATTGCTCCTGCAGAAGATCTGGCGTAAGTCATGGCTGGTCCTCCTGGAGGCGGGTCCTGCAGGCGTGAGCCGTCTGGAGCTGTGGGACCTGCGGGACGGAGGAGGCCGGATGGGCTTCGGGATTAGCAGACCGGCAGGGTTTAAGAGGACGGATAAGCGAGTGATTCGGCTGTCGGACTGTCTGAGCATCACCCCGGCTCCAGCAGAGAGCTGTCCCACAGACTGCTCCGCTTTCTTCCTCAACACCACCTCCTGCACCTTCACCATCGCTGCACCCCAACGGGACGACTGGCTGACAGTGCTCTGCCGGCTGGCCTTTCAGGTAAACAGACTTTAAACATAAATAAACATAAAGTTTCTTTTGAGCATTTTTTTTGAAGGGGACACAAATAATACAGCCGAGGTGTGCTATTAAAGATATATCCCTGCAGTTAAAAATAGTTTCATCATCATTATTATTATTATAGCATGGACACTACGTCATTATGATTATTCTCAAAGTTTTTATCGGGTTCAATGACAATTTTTTTTTCAAGACTATTTATTGCATTGTTTGTTGTGTTGTTTACAGTCAGCTGACTGACTCCTGACGCAGAATAAATGCAGGAAAAGGCGTTTTACATACCAAATAACTAACTGGTTTACATTACACTTGTTAAATTGACAGATCATATTGTAAATCTGTGAGCCTGTGAAGTTAATCTGCTAAACAGCCACAACTCCGAAACATTTGAAAAATTGTTCACCCCCCAAAAGAATGGTCATTATCCCTTCAATAAAGCACAACACCCTTACCTGACACTGCACATCTGACTGACCCTGCTCTGCCTGTTCCTCAATCAGTTCTTTCTCCTTTGCCTGTGATTGATATTGCATCATTATTATTTAAGCACTCGTTCTTAAAGCCAAATTGCTTGATATGTGAACTTTTTGTACTTGGTGTTTAGCTGCACTGAAAAAGGATCTTATGTCCATTTTCTCTGTCATTTTATCCAATGCATGACACTGCCAGGCAAGTTTATTTATACTGTAGCGCATTTTATACACAATGCTAATTTAAAGTGCTTTACATAATGTATGCAAAACTATCATAAAAATAATCATAACAATACAAACAACGAATTAAAAAAGGTCAACATTTTAATTTCAAATGAATTGAGTCACTTAAGAACAGAATAGAAACTGATTATACAAAAAATACAGTGGGTTTAGTTTGGACGTGGCACAGTGCTCATTTAGCAAACACACAGCTAAACAATATGCTAATTGTGGTCGTTTATGTTAAGTTAACACTATGGCAAGTTGTCACAAGTAATGTATGTCAGACTTTTATTTTGAAAGCGGGAGGCTCAGATTGTTTACTATGTTTCACTGAGCAACGATTGAGATTGCCTAATGCAAGTTTACAGATTATACATTTATTCAGCTCCACTTTTTTATTTCATGTATTAAATTATTAAGTGTATTATTTTTGAACTGTGATCTTCAGTTATTTTTGTTACATTAATTCATCAGTTTTGTCTTTGTTTCAGCATTTTATCTTAGTGCTACTGACTAATCTAATGCCAAACATGCTGAAAAACAATGCTGAAGGCAGATATTCTGCTTTGCGCTACATGCCGGAACATCTGTCTTTGGTTTGGTCCCTTTAACCCGCCCAATGTTCAGGTCCTATTAGTCGTCAACCTGGCAACCTGCGCTGGCATTTGTTTTGATCCAGGAACGCAATACCTAGTTCAACCACTGGGTGTCAAACTTACATACTGCACCTTTCGCAGGAGTTGTTCTCTGTTTGTCTGATCATGTTTTTTCTTCTGCAGAAAGTCTTATTTGTTTTATTTTGGCTAGAATAGAAGCAGTTATTAATTGTTTTAAACCCATTTTAATGTCAAGTTTATCAATATTATTAGCCCCTTAAGCAATAATAGTTTTGGATTGTCTACAGAACAAATCACTAACCATATACAGTTGAAACCAGAAGTTTACATAGACTAAAAAAAAAGGAGCATAACCATTATTAAATAAATGTCTGATGGTAAATCAGACTACACGTTTACTATTTTAGGTCTGTTAGGATTACCTAAATGATTTAAATTTGCTGAATGCCAGAATAATGAGAGAATTTGTTATTAATTTCTAGACAGTCAAGTTTACACACATTTCCTTGGTATGTTTTAGCTTTGCTTTTAAACTGTTTAACTTTGGTCATATGTTTTGGGTCTCCTTCCACAAGCTTCTCACAATAGTTTGCAGGAATTTTGGCTCATTCCTCCTGACAGAATTGCTGTAACTGAGTCAGATTTGTAGGCTGTCTTGCTCGCACAAGCTTTTTCAACTCCGCCCACACATTCTCTATAGGATTGAGATCAGGGCTTTGTGATGGCCACTCCAAAACATTCACTCTGTTGTTCTTAAAGCACATTTGAACTCATTTGGCAGTATGCTCAGGGTCATGATCTGTTTGACCCATTTGTGGGCAAGTTGTAATGTCCTGGCTGATGTGTTGAGATGTTGCTTCAGTATTTCTCCATAATGTTCTGTCTTCATGATGCCATCTATGCTGTGAAGTGGACCAGTCCCTCCTGCAGCAAAACAGCCCCACAACATGATGCTGCCGCCCCCATACTGCACAGTTGGGATGGTGTTCTAGGCTTGTAAGCTTTCCCCTTTGTCCTCCAAATGTAACACTGCTCATTATGGCCAAACAGTTCAATCTTAGCTCCATCAGAGCACAGCACATGTCTCCAAACATTACTCTTTTCCCAGTGTCATTCAGCTAATGGTAATCTGGCTTTGTTGTTGATTCTGGTTTGTTGATTCTCCATGTTGTCACACAAGGAAGCAGTGTGTTTGAGCTTTTCCTTCAACACTATTCTACAGTTGTGCCTCACATTAACTCAAATGTTGTCAAATAGCCAATCAGAAACTTCCAAAACCTCGTCTAAAATCTTCCAAAACCATCATCTGAGCTTTTCCAGAGGCAGAATAATCTTATTGTGTGTAAACTTGACTTTCAAGAAGAGTTATAACAATTTCTCTAAACACATCTCTCTCATTATTCTGCTGTTACGCACAACAGAAACACAGGTGATCACCCTCACTTACCTGAAAGAAAAGTTTCGTCACATTAACACCTGACTGTATTTTAAATGGTTATGTGCCTTTTAAACAGTGTATGTAAACGTCTGCCTTCAACTGTAAGTCTGCATTTCTAACTGAAATCACCTCTTGTATATTAAACTTCAGCTTTCGGCGCAGAGGAAGTGTTGACAACCACACCTTTGCTTTTATGATTGCTCAAGAACATCCTTAGTCATTTTTCAAAGATCCACATCATAAAAAAAGAGGAATTACTAATGCAGGCTGTGTGTTATCAACCGCCTTGTATGTTTTAGAAGAGCCGGAGCAGCGAAGACAGCAGGAGAGTCCAGAAAGACAAATACCTGCCGCTGGCCGACAACGAGCTGTACTCCACCTGGGGAACAGGTGAGACGTCTGCAGAACACAACACAGCCCCATTCTCACAGCGATAACATCATTATCTGTGGGTGTTTCCAACGGTCTGAGTGTTGAGCAAGAGCTGTGTGTTCATATCTACAACACGTACGGCTCCATTACTCAGGGCTTTACTTCCTTCAGCTCTGTGATCCTTCCTGCAGATAAAAAATTAACTTTACTGAAATTAAATTAAATAAACAACATTTTAGTTTTTGCGCAAGTCACTTTTATAAGCGGTTTAAACACATTGATAGTGTGTGAATATAGCCAGCCTCTTATTAATTGTGTCTGTTATAATCAGACTTGACGCAGAAACACTTTGATTGACATTCTCCCTTTGTACGTGTCATCAAAGGGGGAAAGCCCCGCCCACTAGTGCCCATCTCTCCATCTCATTAGCATAAACAGCAGCCCTGAGTGAGAAGCAGCCGCCTGTCCATTAGCCATTAGAGTGTTTGAGCTGCTGAAGATGACGTCAGCATAGACTAAGAGGATTATAGATGTGGAGTTTTAGATGAACTGCGACAGGAGCGACATAGACTGACAGAAGCATCAACACACACTCACACTGAAGCACACATGACCAGCACTGACAACACACACACACACTGCTGTTTTACATCCGTCTCTATGCTGATGCATATGCATTTGCAGCTCCGCCCTCTTCTGAAAAAGAGCACATTGTCATTTGCATTTAAAGCGACGGTCACCAAAACACCACAGTTAGGATTAAAGCCTGAAATGGTCAGATTCAGAGCATTAGAAAACATTAGTGTGCTGTTTTCAGCTCAAACTGAAACACACACACTCTAGACACAGCACAGACGCATTTACATCTTGAAAAAGAGGCGGAATAGGTCACCTTTAGATACCTGTTCTCACTAATAACTATGGGCCTGCTTATCATTAAAGGGCCATGAAACCCCCTCGTTTCAGCAGGGTGTTTTCACACCTCTACTTTGGAAAAAGTCAGAAAAGTGGGCGTGTCCAGCTCTGTTTAGGGGGGAGTGTCGGAGGAAGAAAAGAGGCTTGGTGTGGGAGTGTCTATTTGGGTGCGCTGACTTTCAGAGTCAAAACACACACCCAACAGGGGAGAAAGGGACTGTGTTTACATGGACATATGTAGTCGAATTATTTGCCAAATTATTAAATGGTGGACTTTAACTGCAGTTTGGCTCTTTCATTCAGGGAATTCATTCATGTCCCTCGCCACAAACGTGATATTTGATTGGAGGAACTGTTCTAAGCGTGTATTTTTCATGCAATGTTTGATACCGCACGGCGAATGAGAGAAGAAAAAAAACTCAGCATTTCCCGAAAACTTAGATGCACACGGCAGGTAGCGTCAGAAAGCCGCGTGTGTTACTCCCGTCCAAAATCCTACACGAGGTTATAGTTTGGTTGTAACTTGTTTACACTTGGTGCAATAGTTTGTTCAATACGAATAAAATACGAACTGAATAAACAAAGAGCACTGGTCGCTCACTTACCAAATCTGTAGAGACAGGACAATCACCAGCAACTAGAGCCGCGTCTTTATGAAGAGGAGACTACAAGTGAATCCGGATCTCAGCGTTTGCAGATGAGAACAGCTCTCAGGTAAACAATAATCCTCCTTAGACACGTAAGTTATTGTTGTCGAGCGTCGCGTACACTGTTAATCCACACGTGACTCCAGCTGAGCTCTCACAGAGAGAAAATGAAAACAAAACTTCACTGCAGCAAACTATAAAAGCAACACTTCACGCTTGTTTTGCCAACACAACGTGGCGTCTCTATCGTCTAAACACTGTGACAGTAATGAATATTAATGAAGTTGCACAATAGAGCGCGCTGATTGGTTTGAACCAAGCCTTACTCATGCATTAATGCAGCACACTGTAAGATGTAATAAGACTCACTCTGGCACAGACGTCCAGTCTGCACGCTGGAATACACGCTATTATGTCATGACCGTGATGCAGCTTCAAAAATTAGTTTCAAACCGGAAGTACGAATTTGCTTGAAATAACGCAAAAACAACCAATTTACACTTTTTAGTGAAATATAGGTGTCCTAATAGTGTTTTTAGCAGTGTGGGACACATATACCACTGTCAACAGCTCAACACATGTGTTTTAGTGTTTCGTGACCCTTTAAAATATTGGCTGTTTATAAAGTATGATCTCTAATCGTACCCGATACCTAAACCCCATTTACTAAGGGGTATGCGAGTTCAAGTTTTGAGCCCCCCCATTCATTAAATCGCACTTATCAAAAAAAAAAAAACAGAGGATCAAACTAAATTCATTTGTTGCTCTTTAGTAAATAACTATAGTAACTGTAATCAATATTTAAATGCAGTGAATAAAAATGTTCTCTTTTGAAGCTGACGGTCCATAAATTTACGACTATCAAAAGCGTTAACCATAAAGTTAACTTTACACCAGCTCATCATGGCTTTTTCGTAAACTATACAGGATGCAAATATGCTATTTTGAACGCAGTTCAGGTGTGGCCGTGCGTCACTGTCCCCCTGCCTGGACAAAACCACCTCGTCTGCATTTATGTTAAGTAAAAGCCCATGCATGCAGAGACTGGGTGGCGATAATCAATAATTAATGATATGGCAGCCCGTCGCTCCCAAATACATTAGAAGTTGGTTAAAAGTGTGGTAATAATAGTGTGGGTTAGCTTACCATTTCATTATTATCCAATTTGTCATGGCAGTTTTCATTTTAAGGCATTGTTTGTTCTCTTTTTGTTTTCTATTTCGCGCTCCACGTCTCTTTACTCTTCTCTCCATTTTGAATATGTGACTGTAACCGAGCAACGGATCAATCAAATGGTCAACGAAGAGGGAGGGGTGGTATTTTTTTTTTTATTCAATAAAATACAATTATATTTTTATATAAAATGCAGGATAAATATTTTTAACCAAAAATATGTATTTATTCTGTTTAATATATATAATAATATGTATAATTTCAAAAATAGTTTTGGCACAATGGCGCCCCCCATTTGTGGCGCCCCTATGCGCCGCATATACTGCATACCCCCTTTTTGCGCCACTGCCTAAACCCAACTACTGCATTAGTAACTATTAATAAGCAGCAAGTTAGAGATTTACTAAAGCAAAAGTCATAGTTAATGATTTGTTCATAGCTAGAATTGTATCTTAAAGGTGCAGTATGTAGGCTTGGCACCTAGTGGATGAACTAAGTATTGACAGTCCATATTCAAACAATTTTTTCCCTGAACACACAAAGGTTGCCAGATTGACAGCACAAACAGGAGCGAGTGTAACCCTGCTGGTCCTACACCACCCAACCCACTCCGAGCTGGGATCGAACCGGCAACCTTCCGCATGGGAGTCGGTTGCTCTAACAAGGAGGCTAAAGTCCATGACCTCTAGCTTCTATCGCTAGAGCACCTTTAGAGGTCAGAGGAGTGAGGCTTACCTGCACAGCACTTGCTAGCTGGCCTCCGTTACACTCAACCCCCTGATCCTTACTCCCATCCGGGTCACGGCACCAATGTTACCCCACCGGCCCTACACCACCCAGTCCGCTCCAAGCGGGGATTGAACCGGCGACTTTCTGCATGGGAGTCTATTGCTCTAACAAGGAGGCTAAAAACCATGGCCTCTAGCGTCTGTCACTGCAATGTTATGTCTATGTCTGATTGTTTATGTACTTGACTGCTGGGGCTTTTTCCTCCCTGATCTCACACTGGCCTAACTCAAGGGCTTTGTTAGAGGAAGTTACTTGCTTTTTCTAAATGCTTCCTACCGTTGACCTGTCTTCCCCTGAAATGTGATGTTTGTATGGTCGGAAGGGGTCCGATTTCACTACATGACAGTGTATTTGACTTCATGGAAGTGTATGTGACACATAAAGGCCTTTGATTGATAGGGTGCATTTTCACAACATATGCTCATTCTGAAAACGTAGCCCTATATACATTTCTGTAGATTGCAAAATATGTAGCCAGAAGTACGTATGGCTGCATCACGTCTTTAAAACGAACGCTACGGGCCGGTATGACAGAGTTTCGTTTAATGCTTACTGGCTGACTGATTACCTCCGTGTGGACAGCTTTTCCGCTGTTACCAGTTTGCCCAGTAGCTCAACACGTACACCGATGGACTTAAGATGCAGATCCCGATGATGGGGTTCGAGTCCAGTGAAGAACGGTTCCAGAAAGAAGGTAAGACAAAAACAGAAGCCAAAAACTAAATAAATAAGTAAATGACAGGGTGAGAATGTGGTAAAATCTGAAAACATGATAAAAATCAGGCGAGAGCTTTTCATTTTCTGGATTGCTTTTGAAAACACTGTCGGTTGGGTTTAGGGAAGTGGGTGGGAGGATCAGTCGCTCGGTCAGTCAGTCAGTCTCTGGTAAATTTACAAGAGAACAGCAGGCATGAATGGCACTCGCAAGAGAAATTTAAGATCTGACAAAGCGTACACAGCGGCCTCTGATGCATTCGTGAAAACAAAACTCGCAAAAGAACGTAGCTCCTGGCACGTATTTGACGCTCTCCAGAAATGTATATAGGGGTACGTATTCAGAATGAGCCTTGGTTGGATATCTTTTACAGTGTAGACCAAACCTTCACCTCCACAGCTTCATACTTGCTGGCAGAACAAATCTTTCTTAGGTGTGTGTTGAATAGATGTGCCCTCAGACTGAGTGTGGGTTTCTGTGTTGTGCTGTTCTCAGGTCAGTTCCAGGTGTGTGTTCAGAGCACAGAATCGTCTCAGAGACTCAGGCTGTCTGGATATTACCTGCTGTCGGCCGATAAAGAGACGGTCAGTCTGCTGGACCTGAGGACTGGAGAGCCCATCCAGCGCTGGCCATACAGACTGCTCAGGAGATTCGGCCCAGTCAAGGTCAATCAGCGGGAAACACACACAAACAACCCAACAACTTAATAACAAGGATATCTGTGCTCATTTCAGCTCATTATTGATGGCCATTTCCCCTCCTCTTTATTCCTCATTCCTTCTCTCGTTCATCTGTTTAACTTTATCATAAATATTACAAATATTATAGATATAAATCCATCCGTCCATCCGTCTATCCATCCACTTTCTATCTATCTATCTATCTATCTATCTATCTATCTATCTATCTATCCATCCATCCATCCATCCATCCATCCATCCATCCATCCATCCATCCATCCATCCATCCATCCATCCATCCATCCATCCATCCTCTTTCTTTCTTTCTTTCTTTCTTTTTCTTTCTTTCTTTCTTTCTTTCTTTCTTTCTTTCTTTCTTTCTTTCTTTCTTTCGGTCCGTCCGTCCGTCCGTCCATCGTTCTATCTATTTCTTTTTCTTTCTTTCTTTCCTTCCATCCATCCATCCATCCATCCATCCATCCATCCATTCTCTTTCTTTCTTTCTTTCTTTCTTTCTTTCTATCTTTCTTTCTTTCTTTTTTTTCTTTTCATCCATCCACTTTCTTTCTTTCTATCTTTCTTTCTTTCTTTCTTTCTTTCTTTCTTTCTTTCGGTCCGTCCGTCCATCGTTCTATCTATTTCTTTTTCTTTCTTTCTTTCCTTCCATCCATCCATCCATCCATCCTCTTTCTTTCTTTCTTTCTTTCTTTCTTTCTTTCTTTCTTTCTTTTTTTTTTTTTTCTTTTCATCCATCCACTTTCTTTATTTCTTTCTTTCTTTCTTTCTTTCTTTCTTTCTTTCTATCTTTCTTTCTTTCCATCCATTCTTTCTATCTTTCTTTCTTTCCATCCATCCACCTTTCTTTCTTTCTTTCTTTCTTTCTTTCTTTCTTTCTTTCTTTCGGTCCGTCCGTCCATCGTTCTATCTATTTCTTTTTCTTTCTTTCTTTCCTTCCATCCATCCATCCATCCATCTATCCTCTCTTTCTTTCTTTCTTTCTTTCTTTCTTTCTTTCTTTCTTTCTTTCTTTCTTTTTCTTTCTTTCTTTCCATCCATCCACTTTCTTTCTTTCTTTCTTTCTTTCCATCCATCCACTTTCTTTCTTTCTTTCTTTCTTTCTTTCTTTCTTTCTTTCTTTCTTTCTTTCTTTCTTTCTTTCTTTCCATCCATCCACTTTCTTTCTTTCTTTCTTTCTTTCTTTCTTTTCTATCCATCCATTTTCTTTCTTTCTTTCTTTCTTTCTTTCTTTCTTTCTTTCTTTCTTTCTTATCTATCTGTCCGTCTATCTATCTATCTATCTATCTATCTATCTATCTATCTATCTATCTATCTATCTATCTATCTATCTATCTATCTATCTATCCATCCATCCATCCATCCATCCATCCATCCATCCATCCATCCATCCATCCATCCATCCATCCATCCATCCATCCATCCATCCATCCATCCATCCATCCATCCATCCATCCATCCATCCATCCATTTATCTATCTATCTATCCATTTTTCTTTCTTTCCATCCATCCACTTTCTTTCTTTCTTTCTTTCTTTCTTTCTTTCTTTTCTATCTGTCTGTCTGTCCGTCCATCCATCCATCCATCTAGTGTCTTTCTTTGTTTCTCTCTGACCTGCTGACCTTCTTTCTTTCTTTCTTTCTTCATATTCCCTCTCTCCTTTCTTCCTTCCCTACAGAAAACTAGTCAACTAGTATAGTCTAGTAGTAGTTAGCCGGTAGTAGTAGTGATGTGCAGGCTGTTCAGTTACATAAATCATCATTGCTGGACTCACATCAGTGCACATTCACAGTTTATTCATCATCTTCCAGGGCGGCATCATGATCGAGGCGGGCCGCCGCTGTCCCAGTGGCGAGGGTCAGTTCATTTTCCAGTCCAAACAGGGATCTCAGATACACCGAGCCATCGAGGACGCAATAATGCACCAGAGCGTCCAGGAGCTCCTGGCACAGGCCTCCGCTATTCCACAAGAGCCCAAAAACAGACCTGAGGTCAGCAAACCTCCTGCTATTCCACAAGAGCCCCAAAACAGACCTGAGATCAGCAAACCTCCTGAGGTCACCGTTAATCCACAGCGTCCAGCAATACACTGCAAGCGCGGACAGCAAATACACAAGGCCATCAAAGAAGCGCTCGCATTGCCATCATACACACCTCAACCACCACCCTCACCAAAACCCAAAGCACAAGTCAAGGAGGTCAAGAGAGAGAAACCGTGTCCACCGGTGCGACCAATAAACAAATATCACAACACCCAAAAACTGACCCCTCCACCACCACCACCGCCACCACCATTACCAAAAAACAGACCGCCAGACTGGACCAATGTGCTGAAAAACACTGATGATCCTCGCAGGAACATCTCTCTTCCTGACCCTCCAGCGTGCATCAGGAGCTCTGTGAGCAGTCCGGATGATGTTTTATATTCTGTGATTTTCCCCCAAGCCAAACCCAGAGAGGTTATCAACCTCCCAGCTCCTCCTGCGATGCAAACATATGAGGAAAAACCATCTGAAGGTTGTTTTACTGAAGAGGAGGAGACTCCATACACTAACCTGAGCTCTGTTGAACGCAGCATTGAGGATCTGTACAGTACAGTCAATTATGCGGCCAAGCGTAAAAACAGGCAGGCTGAAGAAAGCAGTGAGATGCCGGCTGATTTCAAGCAGACCCTGTCTAGTCTTCTGTCTAAAGAGCTGGGGAAGACTCCTCCTGTGTTTCCGGGCAGGTCGTATGGAGGAAGTTGCGATGGGTTGGACAGATTTGATGAACTGATGACTGATTGAAAGTCAGGTCAGAGATGCCATAAATGCAAGTACGCAGAAGTGGGTTATTTTCTCTCACCTTGTGAGACTTCCTCGTAATGGGCTATATGGATGATTAGGGTTTTCAGGCACAGATAAACTTCTGGTCAAAGGTTTATGTGACTATTTTTGAAAGAAACCAGACCCTAAACTTGGTGATTTAATAATACAATGACAATTGACTAGAAGTGTGAAGCCTGAACATTAAACGTCCCTCTGCATATAGCCTGCTATGCATTATTATCAATTTTTTAAAATAATAATTAACTTTACTGAAAGTAAGTAAAGTGTATAACTGTAAATGTTTATGGATGTAAAGATTCACTGAACTCAATTGTATTTAATGTACAGTTCTTGCTACTAACAAATCAGTAATCATGACTTGTTTGCTCAACAGTTATTAAAGAGATATAATTAATCCAAAAATGAACATTTGCTCACTATTTACTCTGTTTATTTAAGTGTTTGCAAACCTTTATTCTGTTAAACACTAAAGAAGATATTTTGAAAAAAAGCTTAAAGCCGGTAACCATTGACTTGTATAATAGGAAAAATAAATACCATGGAAGTCAGTGGTTACACGTTTGCATCTTTCTCCAGTACATATTTAATCATTCGTTCATTCATTCATTCATTTTCTTTTCGACTTAGTCCCTTTATATACAGTTGAAACCAGAAGTTTACATAGACTCTAAAAAAGGAGCATAACCATTATTAAAAAAGTGTCTGATGGTAAATCAGACTAAACGTTTACTATTTTAGGTCTGTTAGGATTACCTAAATGATTTACATTTGCTAAATGCCAGAATAATGAGAGAATTTCTATTAATTTCTTGACAGTCAAAAGTTTACACACATTTCCGTGGTATTTTTTAGCTTTGCTTTTTGGGTCTCCTTCCACAAGCTTCTCACTATAGTTTAGAGGAGTTTTGGCTCATTCCTCCTGACAGAATTGCTGTAACTGAGTCAGATTTGTAGGCTGTCTTGCTCGCACAAGCTTTTTCAACTCTGCCCACACATTCTCTATAGGATTGAGATCAGGGCTTTGTGATGGCCACTCCAAAACATTCACTCTGTTGTCCTTAAAGCACATTTGAATTAGTTTGGCAGTATGCTCAGGGTCATGGTCTGTTCGACCCATTTGTGGGCAGCAAAACAGCCCCACAACATGATGCTGCCACCCCCATACTGCACAGTTGGGATGGTGTTCCTAGGCTTGACCATGTAACACTGCTCATTATGGCCAAACAGTTCAATCGTAGCTCCATCAGAGCACAGGACATGTCTCCACACATCAGTCTTTTCCTAGAGTAATTGAGCTAATGTTAATCTGGCTTTGTTGTTGATTCTGGTTTGTTGATTTTCTCATGTTGTCACACAGGGAAGCAGTGTGTTTGAGCTTTTCCTTCAACACTATTCTACAGTTGTGCCTCACATTAACTCAAATGTTGTCAATTAGCCAATCAGAAACCTCCAAAACCTCGACATCGTCATCTGAGCTTTTCCAGAGTCAGAATAATCTTATTGTGTGTAAACTTGACTTTCAAGAAGAGTTATAACAATTTCTCTAAACATCTCTCTCATTATTCTGCTGTTACGCACAACAGAAACACATGATAATCCTAATTTATCTAAGAGAGAAGTTTAGTTGCATTAACATCTGACATTTTATAAACTGTGCCTTTTATACAGTATATGTAAACTTTTGCTTTCAACTGTATATATATATAATTAGTGCTTAACAAGAAAGAGGCTTGTAAATGTTTGAAACGAGTAAAGGGTGTGTAAAATTGATAACAAAACTTTAATTTTTGAGTGAACCGTCCCTTTAAGGTAGTAGTTGGGTTAAGGTAATGGGTAGGGTTAGGTATGCAGTATAAGATGATACATTATAAGTGCTAATAAAGTACGCTGGGGTTTCATGAACCTTTAAATCCGCCCCTGGTTATCAGTAATTGTAAGCACCATCGCTTTATCTGTTATTAACGTAATTGACAGGTTGTGTTATTTATATTATAGTTTTTTTGTTTGTTTATAAACTTTTTTAGAGCTGTCTGAGCTCCAGAGCGGCTTTAATAAAATGTACATTTCCATAGCTGATGAAAAAAGTAAAATATTTGATTTGTTGTAGTTATTTTATTTAAGTGACCTTACTCAGATTAAATGACTCTTTTGAGCAAATGATTCAGTCTGTTAAAGGGCCATGAAACCCCCCTTGTTTCAGCAGGATGTTTTCACACCTCTAGTTTGGGAAAAAGTCAGGAAAGTGGGCGTGTCTAGCTCTGATTGGGTGGGAGTGTTGGGGGGAGGGAAAATGGGCAGGGTTTGAATAAAAATGGGAGTTGCCATTTGGGTACGCGCTGAGGACAGAGGAAAAACAAACACACACACAGGAAGAAAGACAGTGTGCTTAATGACGGTGAAATGCTTGATACCGCACGTCGTTGAAGAGAAAAAGCCTCTGCATTTCTCTGTAACTCAGATGCACTCAGTAGGTCAGAAAGCCGTGTGTGTGTAGACTATCCTGTCGGCAAAAGTTTGCTTACTGTGTTCACTTGTTTACACTCAGCATTTACAGCGGATCATTCAATATTGTTGTGATATTAACGAACTGTAAACTAAGTAACTTATAAATAATTTTGACTAAGCTCTGTCTGTAAACACTGAAAGAGTACAGCTGACCATACCAACTATAACTTTGCCATCTGAATGAACAAAGAAAGGGTGCTGATCGCACACACTTACCGAATCTGTAGACAGGACAATCAACACATACTGGAGCTGCGTCTTTATTAAGAGGAGACGAGCAGCAAATCCGGATCTCACCATTGATGAGAAATGCTCTTGAGTAAAAATGTTCCAAACAAACGCATTTCTGCCGCGCGTCGCGTACACGGATCCACACGCGAGTGCAGCAGCGCTCTCATGGAGAGAAAATGAAACAAAACTTTCAGATTGTGAAAGCAACACTGGTGACCCGTATCTCCAAATATTCATTCATTCATTCATTTTCTTATCGGCTTAGTCCCTTTATTAATCCGGGGTAGCCACAGCGGAATTATCCAGCAAGTTTTTACGCAGCGGATGCCCTTCCAGCCGCAACCCATCTCTGGGAAACATCCACACGCACATTCACACACACACTCATACACTACGGACAATTTAGCCTACCCAGTTTGCCTGTACCGCATGTCTTTGGACTGTGGGGGAAACCAGAGCACCCGGAGGAAACCCACGCGAAGGCAGGGAGAACATGCAAACTACACAGAAACGCCAACTGAGCCGCGGTTTGAACCATCGACCCAGAGACCTTCTTGCTGTAAGGCGACAGCACTGCCTACTGCGCCATTGCCTCGCCCTATATCCAAAAAACGCTTGTTCTTTTCCCACAACTTTTGGCAATACGACGTGTGTAGTTTCTCTGCCGTCTGAACACTGTTTCAGGTACAGTCTAAGAAAGCTAGCATGCATATTAATTAAGTTGCAGCGCATACATAATGGAGCGCGCTGATTAGTTTGAACCAAGCCTTACTCATGCATTAATGCAGCACACTCAGAGACGTAATACGGGACGCTGTAAGTACAGACGTCCAGTCTGCACGCTGGAATACACGATAAGATGTCATGACCGTGATGCAGCTTCAAAAATTAGTTTCAAACCGGAAGTACGAATTTGCTCGAAATAACGCAAAAACAACCAATTTACACTTTTTAGTGAGATATATGTGTCCTGATAGTGTTTTTAGCAGTGTGGGACACATATACCACTGTCAACAGCTCAACACATGTGTTCTGGTGTTTCATGACCCTTTAAATCATTTAATCGCTCACATGTTTTTCGCCCACTACTGGCACATTTATGTTATTAATGCAAATAAATCTATTTGATCAACTCTAAAAATCTAGCTATATGTGATTTTTTTATTTCCCAAATGATGTTGAACAGATTCAGGAATTGTTCACAGTGTTTCCTCTAATATCTGTTCATCTGGAGAAAGTCTGATTTGTTTTATTTCAGCTAGAGTAAAAGCAGTTCTTAATTGTTTTAAAGTCATGTTAAGCTCAATATTATTCGCCCCTTCAGCAATATTAGTGTTGGATTGTCTCCAGAACAAACCACTGTTATACAATGACTTGCCTAATTACCCTAACTTTACCCTAATTACCCTAGTGAAGCCTTTACATGTCACTTTAACCTGTATACTAGTGTCTTGAAGAATATCTAGTCTAATATTATGTGCTGTCATCATGGCGAAGAGAAAATAAATCAGTTATTAAAACTATCATGTTGAGAAATGTGTTGTAAATATACAGGCTAATAATTCTGACTCAAACTGTATATGAAAACATTTAAATAAATGCACTAAACCACTTTCAGACTAAAATCACTGCATAAATCTGTATAAATATATGAAAAGAACATCTTTATTAAACTCTTGAGGTAATAAAAAAATCACAGAGACACATAAATAACATTTTTGTCATGACTGATGGAGGTTTTTGTACATGTGGAATGGAGAAATCCAAATTCAGGCGATGATCTGTCTTAAAGTGCAACTCCTTTGTCGTGAGAAATAGTCAATCGAGTCTAGAAGAACTAATCGTCATCCATATGGCCTAGCTATTTGGTTCTTTCAGTGTCTACTAAAACACAGACAAATAAATAAAGAGTCTTCAGAGTACCACAGTCTCAATCCCACACATACTATAGTCACTTATAGCAGATACTGTAGTGTTTCTGAACCATACTATAGTGATTATACATTGGTTAATGAATGATCCAGCACTACCATAGTATACTAGATAAACTGTAATAGATACTGTAGCATACTTTAGTGTTTACTACAGTAAACAGTAGTGTATTATTGTAGTATAATATACCATATGGTAGTAGAAGTGGGTCATTTGTTTAAATTACTATAGTTGTTGTGTTTCTATACACTGTATTTAGTAGCTTTACTGTAAATGAAAGTGAGAAAACCCATCGCCTTAAACATGACAAGTCGACTTTACTTAAAAAAGTGGGTAACTTGGTGCGATTAAGTTGACGTAATTTTTATGATTATGCACATAGTTTTAAAGCCATTTATTTACTCACTTAAGTTAACTAATGACTTTAAGAACAAACATTTACTTACTATTTGAAGTAAAGTCGACTTATAACTATGAAAACAAAAAGTTTACTCTCTTTTCGTAATATAAATTCAACTAAACGCTTTTAAATCCAATCGTTTACTCACTTTTTATACTCAACTAATCACTTTTTATTTAAGACAATCAAAAAATATAGGTTGCCTTACAATTTTAAGCTAAATCAAATTAACCTTATGAGTCAATTGAACTTACATTATATTAAACTGACCTAAAACAGCTTGCGTAACTTATAAAATTAAGTTGGAACATGATTCATTTAGTTTAATATGTTACATTAATTAATTAAAAATGATCTAAAATTAACAACAAACATGACTTATTGATCACATTTTTTTACAGTGTATAGAATTGCCACATCATAATAACTCAATTAATGTAAACTTACGTCTAAAAGTAATAAACTACAATCTTAAAACTTTCTTAATCTAAAAATCAACTGTTCTAAGTAGTTTACTAGCTTTTTAAAGTGACTTTTAAGTAATTACTTTAAGTAAAATCAAGTAATCACTTTTTTTTTTTTTTACAGTGTAGCAACATTATAAACACCACAATCTTATTAACTCAAGTACCAATGTTGGGTAGAGTTACTTTTAAAAGTAATAAATTACAATCTTAATGCTGTCTTAATGTAAAATATTTTTTTTTTTCTAAAAAAGTAACTAACCAACACATTTAGTTATTTATTTATAATTTTGAATATTAAATATAGTTATTTATTTATTATAACTGACTCAAGATTGTAATATATCACTTTTACAAATATAAATAAACAATAATCGCAATAATTTCCTTACAAGTATTGACGTGTGCTGAGTTTACATGATTGATTATAGGCTATATTAATGCTGCGTAACTATTTTCCCATATCAAGTACTGCCTGATTTAAAAACACTAGAATATGTACTATAAATGACTATAGCATTTAATGTGTGGTAATCAGCGTCCTCCAGTGTGTCCTTCTTCAGTGTCGCTGAAATGTGAAGACTCTCCATCACTCGCGTTGTTCGTGCTGTCGTGTTTTTCCGTAGCGAAGTTACCCGAAGTTGCGTCAATAGCGTACGGGATTGCGGTCCTCTGGCTCCCTGGTGCACCAGACTGCACCACTCCTTCCAGCAGCTCGGAGAGCTCAGTGATGTAAATCTGGGCCATCTGAAGAGTGTCATACTTTGATAGTTTTTTCTCATTCTCCAATGAAGGAATGACGCTTCTCAGCTTGTCAAACGCCCGGTTCAAACCGTGCATTCTCCGCCGTTCACGCGCATTTGCGGCCACGCGCCTGTGTCTCTGAGGGCCACTGACAGATGCTTTACTCCCAGGACGAGCTTTAGATCCTGCATGATGATCTTCAGAGGCAGCTTGAGGGCTAGATATGTACTTTTCCATTGGAGAATCAGCGGCGGTGCGTGCGTAATTCTCCACGGCAGAGGAGTACTCAGGAGCCGCAGAGGTCATCCAGGCCCGCGGGTCACTCCGGGTCAGCCTGGGATGTTCAGAGATGGAAAACTCCTCCCGAAAGTGTCCATCTGTCCAATGCAAAAGCTTCGTTTTTGCAGTCATTGCTTGTGTAGAAATGCATATAAAGAATGCCGTGCTCAGTCAGTCCTGAAGGGCCCTTTACCTTCACGCAGGATCCTGATGTCGGCTCTATATGGGCATCTCCTCCTCCCACGGCCCCTCCCTGCTCACTGCTCTCAGCCAATAGAAAACGCGCCTCAAACTTCCAAAGAATAATAACGAGTTGTTTTTCTTCCTCCCATCAATTGTTCTGGAGTGATGGAAGAGCTTTCCGCAGGATGATCACAGTTTTTTAAATGCTGGGTTGTATTAACAGTTAGGTTGGTAACAAAACTAACTAACACTTTTGTTTGATAAACAATTCACGCCATTTACTACTCGCTAATTACCCGACTTCAAGATATTAACTGTTTTTAGTATTTTATTTTATATTTACATTTTTACTCCTGCTCAATACCTACACCCAACATCAAGCTTAATTATTAATAAGAAGTTAATTGTGCTAAAAGTCTTAGTTAATGGTTTGTTAATAGCCTGGAATCAGCATTAGAATAACGTGGTATCAAATAATTATAACCCAACTGTGTGAATTGTTGCTTAAATTAAAGTGTATTTTTACATATAGACAAAAAGTTTTATTAATTCACACTTTTTTTATCCAACAGTTTGGTTTATTCATATTAGACCCAAGAGTGTTTGAGTGTATTTTAATGAATGTAGATGTGTGTTTTGAAATAGGCTACTGCATCCTCAATGACATATTTAACCCAAAGTTTGGGTTTCTTTATTTTCGACTCAACATTTGGTTATGAAAACCCAGCAATTTTAGAGATCATTTAATTAAATGTAAATCTGCGTTTTTAAATCTGCATCCTGATAATTTAGACAATTTTAAATGACTCTTTATAACCCAATGTTTGAGTTTCTTAGTTTTCAACCCAGCATTCGGCTATGACAGGCCATATAGATAGACAGATAATTTAAATGAATAAAGATCTGCGTCCTAATACAGACACATTTAAATGACATTTTAACCCAACGTTTGGGTTTCTTTATTTTGACCCAACATTCGGTTATGACAACCCAGCCATTTTTAAGATATTTTTAATGACCGTAGATCTGCGTTTTAAATACTACATTTTATAAGATATACAAATTTAAATGACAAATTTTAACCCAAAGTTTGGATTTTTAAATTTTTGACTCAACATTCGGGTATGACAACCCAGCAATTTTAGAGAGAACTATGATGAATGTAGATCTGCGTTTTTTAAACTATCCATCCTAACAGTGTAGACACTATTAAATGACTCCTTTTAACCCAATGCCTGGGTTTCTTAATTTTCGACCCAACATTTGATTATGACAACCCAACATATTTTAGAGGACTTTAATAACCTGCACCAGACCTGCATTTCTAAATAGGCTACTGCATCCTAATGATATAGACAATTTTAATTAACGGCATGGTTATTTTTATTAGTATTTTTAACTTATTAAGATTGCATTTTTAGATTCACTCTAAGAAATGCTGGGTTATTTAAACACAAACTGGGTAAAATATGGAGTCACCCAAACATTAGGTTCAATTTGGACCTATTAATTAAAAAAATCCCAGCAGTTAATTTAGTCCATACACCCAGAATTGAGTTGAAATAACGCAGAATTTAGATTGTTCTATTGTCTTTATAATTTATCATACTTCGATGTTGAATCTTTGTGTTTTATTGCGTGTTTTCTCTCCCCTCTCTCCTGCTCTGTAGTTTTAGAAAAGCGCATAAAACAAAGTGTATTATTATTATTATTATTATTATTAGTATTAGTAGTAGTAGTAGTAGTAGTAGTAGTAGTAGTTGTAGTAGTAATAGTAGTAGTAGTAGTATTAATAGGCTAAAATAAATTAGCCAATGCATGTCATTTTAAAAGTTATAATTAAACAGTCAGACTCAAATCTCGAAACGGACTTGATCTAACATCCTTATCCACTTTATTCAAGATAAGCAACGGAATTGGCATCCAATAAAATCCGGTCAGAATCTCGCATAGCAGCGTCATATTCCTGCTCAAATAAACTGTAAAATCTGCGGTGATAAAGCGAGCAGGTGGAGAGCAGGTCGAGAGGCGCACCTGTCGTCAGAGGAGTCCAGGAAAACTGATAAGTGTCTTCAGTCTGCTCATAAATCATTCAGCGATCAAGCAAAACAATATTTGGACACAGAAACAACACACAAAACGGCCATGCACGCGTTTAAATGAACATGGTTTAATGCAATTATTACAAAAACGCTTTAAAACATTAATATAATATAATATAATATAATATAATATAATATAATATAATTTAATAGAGTTTGCATGTTCTCCCCGTGTTGGCGTGGGTTTCCTCCGGGTGCTCCGGTTTCCCCCACAGTCCAAACACATGCGCTATAGGGGAATTTATCAACTATTTGGCCGAAGTGTATGAGTGTGTGTGTGTGTGTGTGAATGAGTGTGTATAGGTGTTTCCCAGTAATGGGTTGCAACTGGAAGGGCATTCGCTGCGTATACATATGCTGGAATAGTTGGTGGTTTATTCCGCTGTGGTTTAACCTTAAGGAAAATTAATTTATAATATAATATAATATAATATAATATAATATAATATAATATAATATAATATAATATAATATAATATAATATACACTTAAAATTGCCGGGTTGTCGTAACCTAACAATGGGTTATATTTAACAACTTAGTATATTATATTATATTATATTATATTATATTATATATATTTTTATATCATTATATTATATATATTATTATATTATATCATATTATATTATAACACATTATCACTGAATAAAGTGTTGCATGCAGAACTGTTGCAAACAATTTATTTGTGTTGAACTTGAATTAAATGTAATAATGTTCAACTTAATTTGTTTGTTTAAATTCAACACAAATAAATTGTTTACAACCACTTAACGTAAACAAAAATTTGAGTAAATCCAAGGAATCATCTTTTAATCATTTTTTTTCAGTGTATTATATTGCAATTGATTTTAAATATGATCTAATTTTAACAAACTTAAATTTGAAACATTATTTAAATTAAATAAATACAGTATTTTTATTTTAATATATGATTGTGTACAATAAAATTGTGTAATTTGTATTTATTAAAGTATCCTAATTACTTGTTAGTTGAATAGCCATATGCATAATTAATTCAGTGTGCATGTTTGTTTGTTTTTTTACCACCAACTTGCCTTGCAGCATCTAAAATACACACACACACACACACTATCCATCTCTCTCTCTCTCACACACACACACACACACACACACACACACACACACACAAATACTGAGGTCTGAATAGCTCCAGCTCAGTCAGTCAGCTGTTGTCCCCTGGCACCCGTCTCTCAGTGAGGGGCCGCGCGCTCGTCTCCCATATGCTGCGATGCTTCGACTTTCACACTTCTGTTAATCACTGAGCTAAAAAAACAGCATCATTCACAGGGGCCCGCGCTCCTCTCGGGATATTCACACGTTTACTCACAACCCCAAAACAGGAAAAGTTGGGACAGTATGGAAATTGCAAGTATGGACTAAAGAAAAAGGAAAGTAGTGATTTCCAAACTTACATTGACTTGTTTTTGACATTATGAACACACAATATTTCAAGTTTTGTGTGGTCAACTTCATTTAATTTGTAAATTTTCATCCTCTCATGTCATTTAGACCTGCAACACAGTCCAGAAACAATGTGATGTCAACAGGTGATTGTGTTTGTGATTTGGTAAAGCAGCATCCAAGAAAGGTCTAATCCTTTAGGAGCAAAGATGGGTCGAGGATCACCAGTTTGCCGACAAATACATGAGAAAATGATTGAAACGTTTAAACACAGTGTTCCTCAGAGAAATAAAGGAAGACATTTGGATATTTCACCTTTAACAGTGCAGGACATCATTAAAAGATTCAAGGAAGTTTCAGTGCGTAAAGGACAAGAGTGCAAGCTGAACCACTGTGATCTCCGATCCCTCAGGTGGCGCTGCATCAAGACTCCTCATTCATCTATGAGCCAGATCACCACATGAGCTCAGGACTACTGCGGCAACCCTTTTTAAAGTACCACAATATGTAGTTACATCCACAAATGTCAGTGAAAACTGTACTGTGCTGAAAGGAAGCCCTATGTTAACAATGTCCTTAAGTACCGTCAACTTCTTTTGGCTCGGAGGAATCTGGGATGGACCACCACAGTGGAATCATGTACTGTGGTCAAAGGAATCAGACATTTATTTAAAGAAATGGACGTGACGTGATCGGACTCATCCAGACATCCAGCAACAAGTCCAAAAGCCAGGGTCTGTCATGGCATGGGGTTGTGTCAGTGCCCTTGGCAAAGGTAACTTGCGTTTCTGGGATGCTCCGATAATGCTTTAAGGTTTAACAACTTTATTAATCCCCCC